AGTAACTGCAAAAGCACTATTAAATTAACTAAAATTACTGTTAATATTACTGCTTTTCGATTATTATTTCTTCTTTGATTCATACATTGCTTATTGTACCACTGAGAGCCCTAACTACACGGGTGATGTGTAAAATTAAGATTTCAGTAAACTACAACAGAGTCAACATAGTTTTCAGAGCATTTGTGGAAACAGATGGCACTTTTGCTTAGCATACACACTAGGTGTCACTCAAGAACAGCAGCAAAACAGTCACCAAACTATACCAGAAAAAGGCATAAGTCAAATTATTTCATAAATATTTTTATTGACTCTTCAAAAAGCTAACCCCCACCACCTGGATTCAGGATTTCTCAATCCTAAGTAATTACCTACTTAGCTAATTAGAAGAAAACTCTAGGAAACCTCTGGTTCATGCTGACAACAGATTAAATGGGGTAAGCTAACAATCAATTAGTTCTGTTTCCTATGGCTGACAATATGAATGTTTAATTACCTGGCATTTACACTCTTCTTGTCCTGTATTCTGACTGACATATTCTTGCTCTGTGCATTAAAGAGCCCTAGAAAAGGCTGTTCTCCTAAAAAGCATTAAGTTATTAAGTGTCAGAGGCATAAATGGATTGCAAAGTTACTTCTCGTACATTAACACCATGAAGGAAATCACCTCAAATTTCATACCAATCTGGAATGATTTCTTCTTTGTTTCCTCACTGAGCTAAAATATCATTCTCTTCACTCGGAACCAAAGCAGTACTTTGTTCATATATAACTGTTTCTTTTTTTTTTCATGTATTATACTTTCCTGATATTTTTAAGCCACACTGAGTTGGTTTTTAGCCACACATTTTCAAGACCCAGGAATACATATTTATTCACTTTAACTGGGTGAGTAAGCATTAGCTATTTTCTATTCAGTAACATAGACACAGAAATTTAATTACTTATTCAAGGCCACAGAGTAAGTGTATTAATGAGATGCAATTAAAATGCACAGCCTTGCTCAGTAAATGAGGTGATACCTATTCTCACTTGGGGGTGAGAAGGGAGGAACAAAAGAATTTCTCCTGCTACCCATACAGGCATGGCATATGTAAGACCTTGTGTAATTTGATGCTGCCTTAAACAAAATCCTACATCAGATTCTTACTAATGCTTTATTGGGAATAAAGAAATAAAAGCAGAAAAAGGAACCAACTAGAAATGGTGTCCTCCTAGATATAATTTTTTTATAAGTAGAGAGGGTCTCATAGGTGAAGTAGCACTTGGTAGCAGTCTTGGCCACAATGACCATGACATACTGAAGTTTAAAATCTTCAGACAGGAGGAAAACTGCCAGCAAAACCTGAAGCCTGGATATGGAGAGGGCAAACTGCTGGCTGCTCAGACAACTAGTTAGCAAGGCCCCTGGGAATGTGCTTTTGAAGGCAATGGGGTCCATCACCACTGGTCACTTTTTAAATCCCGCCTCTTAAGAGCAAAGAGCAAGTAATTCCACACCATCAGCAGTCATGCAGGTGGGGCAGAAGGTCAGCTTTCCTGAGCAGGGATCTCCTTGAGCTCAGGTGGAAAAGTAAAACATACGGACTTCAGAAGGGAAACTGAGTGCATGAGAGTACAGCAATGCTGTTTACAATTGTAGGAAGAAAATTAATACAGCCAAAGCTCAGTTGGAATTGAAGCTGGCAGAGGACGACAAAAAGGGCGTTTTTAATATAAGTTAACAGCAAAAGGAGGACCAAAGAAAATGCTAGTCTGTTACTTGATGAAGTTAGCCATCTCACAAACAGGGATATAGACAAAGCAGAGATGCTAAATGCCTTCTTCACCTGTCTTCAGCACTGATGATGGTCCTGGTACCACCTGAGCCCTGAGCTGGAGGACCACGATTGCAGGAATGATAAATTTCCAGACAACCCTTGGGTGAGATTTGCTATTCCAGCTGGCTACATAAGTCTACGGGGACCCAAGAAAATTCCTATCAGCCAGTATCCCGATGTTATCATGAGACCTCTCTCAATTATTATTTTTTTTAAATGGGCTTGGAAATCTGGAGAAGTTCCAGCGTTGACTGGAGGACAGAAAACGTTCTGATTTTCAAGGAGGGCAAGAAAGAAGACACTAGTAATTGCAGGCCTGTCAGTCTCTCTTGGCACCTGGTAAAATTATGGAGAAGATTATTCTGAGAGTTATTGAAAAAGAACTAAAAGACAATGTAGTCATTGTTGCCACCAGCAAGGGTTCACAAGGGGAAAGCCCAGTTTAACAGACCTAATTTCCTTTGATAACAAGGTTACATGCCAAGATGGCTAAGGAAAGACAGCAGATGTAATCCTTTGGGATTTCGGAAAAGCTTTCAACGTTGTTTCTCACTGCATCCTTATGGACAAAATGCCCATAAATACCTACGAAGATGAGTGAGCAATTTGCTGGCAGGTTGGACTCAAAGGTCACAGTAAATGGGACCGCCTCAGGATGGTGGCCAGTCACTAGTGGGGTTCTAAATGGCTCCATTTTAGGGCCAGTTCTCTTCAGTGTTTCTATAAATAATCTGGACACAAGACTCAAACGCGTACTCAGTAAGTTTGCAGATGATACTAAATTGGGAAGAGATGTTAACTCCTTTAAGGGCAGAGAGGCCTTGCAGCAACATTTTGATGAATTACAATCACTAACAGCACAAAGTCTGACAAGAGCAAGTGGCAACAGTGATGTGAAAGACCAGCCATGTTCTGGTCTTGTAAGCAGTCTTGTTCATTGCTGACAAGAATGCACAGCTAACGGTGGAGACTATGCTGAAAAATAGTGTTCTGTAGCAGAGAATGTGCTCTATCAAAGTGTTATTGTGCTCTTTTTATCTGCTGTAGTCTCAATGGAAATAAATAGGAGGCATTACTTTCAGAGCAACTTCCACTGTGTTGCCTTGAACTAATCTTCCCGTGAATTACAGAAGCAAAAACATTAAATTAAAGCTGTCAAAAGTCTTTTTTTCTTTTTTTTTTAGACAAGGAGAGGGAATAATAGACATCTTTAGAGACTTGATCCTGTTTCTTCAAAAACATAGCTTTCAATTCACTTGGAGAGGAAGTACAGACATAGCCAAGATACTGCTTCATCTTGAAACGTGAAAACGAACCTTGTCTTGTCATTTCTTTTTCCCCCATTCCTGGCTGCTCTTCTTGACTCCTTCAAGATTTTCTTACATTTCAACGCTACTTTTATCATGTAACAAGAATGACACCTTTCAGGTTTGGGGGTTTTAAAGTATAGTAAAATGGAAGAGAAAAATCTTACTATAAGAAGTGCCATGAGATTTAAAGAAAAATTACATTTGCACTATTGCTTCAGCATTTCAGTAACTGGTTTTACCCCAAAAGGAAAATCTCTTGTGTTACATGAATGACAGGATTCCTTTGCCTAATTGTTTAGATTTGTTCACATTAAGTCTTCACTCTTCAAAAGGAAATAGGATGACAGATCTTGACATTTGAAGGAATTTTGACTGCAAATTGAATATAATCAAAAAAGTTTTCTGAGAGAGACTATTGTATTAATACTTCCCTCTTCACTTATTCCTGTCATCCCTTAGTTACTTGCTGCCTCAGCTTGTTAGTGGAAGAATCATACATTGGGAAATAACATATACTTCTACAGTGATGGGAAGCATCTTCCAGTCTGTTAAGTCTGCCTCGTGTGGACACAATTTTCAATATCTTACGGTATCCAGAAGGATACATTTCCTTTTATACTCCTGAAAACAAACCATTAGCATATGTGATTACCAAATTCATGCAGAAAGCCCCACAACAAGACTTAGCTACATGTCACCTGTTTTCTGAGCTTATCATCTTTGAAATCCCAAATTTGGATCAAACTTCCTTGATGTCAGAATTTATTGTTCAAAAACAGAGAATACTAATTTGAAAAACTACCCCACAACTTTGAAAGCTGAAGTCGAAGTAGCACATCTAAGAAATCTAAAAGAACATGTTGCAAGGGTACCAAAGAAAGCAGTGTATTAAATTCTTCCTTCTAACGTATTTCAAAAGACAACTCTAGTTTTAGCAACGAGAGATTTTTTCATCTTCACAGACATTACTTGCAGTTGACCTGACAAATACACAGACAAATATACTCAAGCTGTTCCTTAAGTTACAGAAAAGTAATGCAAGGATGTAATAGTTGCTCTATTCAAGATTTCGAGCCATACCTTCTCACCAAGAAGCAATCCACCTTGAAGTTCTGATGTACTCCTATTTACACTTTTTTTTGATTGGGTATGTTAATTAAAATTTCTCTTCTGTGTATCATGAACTACCACATTATCAAGTGTGCTCAGTAACTTGAAAAAGTTAAGAGCAGCAAATCAGAATGATTTACAATTAAGAAGCAATGTACTACTTATATTCTGAACGCATTCTCATTCAAGTACTGCAAGGGAAACTAAATACAGTAAGGCATTCAAATTCACCATGAGATTTCTCAGAACTGAGCAGCTACATTTTTATACCTGTAAAATATTTATCATCTAAAATGAATGAAATTTAATTTTTCCTTTAAAATTTTACTGTCAAGGCTCAAAGTTTGAGGAATTTTCCCTCACACGTCCTCCTCTCTACTTCTGGTTCAACCAACCTAGTCTACCACCCTAAGGGTACCAATTAATAAAATAACTGTACTTAAACAATATGACACTGTCCAGAGCCACATTTCAGACTACTCTGCAAACTAAATTAGTTTACTTGTCTTTGATAAAATCTAACTCTGGATACTCTTTCAAGCCAGATATTTCTGTGGCATAATTGTTTTTATTATTGCTGTATCTGAAAACAATGCACACCCTAGTTCTTTTCTGCCTTTTATCTCTTACAGTCAGGGACACCTACTGTCATTTTGACTGATGTCAGGTTTTACCTCACCTTGTAAAGGTGGCAGCAAGCACATAATGACAAGAATGTATACAATTAGACAGAAATAGTTCCCTAATAAGGAAAACTTACTTCAAAAAGAAAGAGAATGGAGTCCAGCTCCTCCCTCTGTGATTTATTCCCTGCAAGAGAGAAAACAACATAATTTGACATAATACACAGTGTGATGAAATGGATGGAGAAAATACACTGCTGTTACTCAACTGAAGTCAACAATGCTGCACTTGGTTTAATTCATCTAGTATCAAAAGGGGAGGATGTTTCTGAATTTCAGTCTCTCTCCCCTCTTTAGGCATAGTTAAGAGTCCTATATCTGCAAAGCAACGTGATTGGGTTCACCTTGGAGCAACCAGTTATTCTATTCAGTGTTCAGGTTTGCTCTGTGGATTTCTGATATTTTTCAGTTGAACAAACACATACTTAAGTGTAGGATACAGGCCATCAATATTTCAAAACAAGATGAGAAGATGTGCATGAAATTGTACAAGAGCTAATTTTGGTGTAGAAATTATGCTTAAAACCATAAACACGTATTTACAACTCTTGTCAGTTACCTACAATATTTCAAGCAGCAATTTCCCATGGTCTGTGATTCTATGATCATCACTACTGATACCGTAAAATTAAGATGCCAGCTAAATCTAACACTTACCTTTTTGTTTCAGGCTATTTTCCAGTGTTATGAAGTTTTCATAGAAGATAAAAAAAATTTGAGAATAATTGTTCTCAAAAAACTGCTTCAGGTCACTTCCATCCACAATATCTAGCAAGAAGAACAAACTGAGTTATTACACAGCATCTGAAACCTGGAAACACTTTTCTTCATGCAAACTGGAGAATGAAGTACATTATGAAACAATTTTAGTGATTTCATTAAATATTCTATACTAGATTGTGATTCCATCAGTAGAAATGAAATAGAAAAATATATGCTTTTACTTAGTTTTTCTAAGTTTGCATGTTGTTTAGGTTTGTTTTCCATCTTAAAAAAGAAAGACAGGATGCACCCACATACCACTTCCATAACAATTCTTAATCCACAGGAGATATTTTTTACTAACAAATGTGAAAGCTGTCTGTCATCAAAATAATTCAGCAGATCTCCTAATAGGGGTTATATTAAGTACACACTGAACTCAATCCTTTCGGATCATCAGGAGTGTACATTGCTAGAAATTCTTCCACATGCCCCAAAGCATGAAGTAACATGACTGAACCCAAACATAGCAAAGATGCTAAATGATTTAGCCATTAACATGGACTAGCTTTTAGCCCACCTGATAGCCAACTGCACCACTGGTTCATTTATGAACAATTTTTTTAATTACTTTGGAAAATTATACAACACAGCAGCCATCCTGTAGCTGTCTGCAAAGATTCCAGACATCATTAAGAATCCTCAGTGAATTCAAAACAATTCATTTAAAAAAAAATAATAATTGCATGGAACCTTCACCCAGGGGTAAAATCAACCTTTTACACTGAGTAGAGGAAGTCTGCACAGGAAGTTTCAATAAAAGGGCAAGACCAAGTGAAGGCTAAAACACAGCTCTAAAAGACCAAAGATACATTCACAGTGACTGCCTGAATACCAAACAATAATGGGATGTTAAAAAGAAAGGTCAAATTGAAACATTTTCATTTATAATGAAACAACTGCAGATTTCTCTACCATTTATAATTGTTTGTAATTTTCAAGTTTAATTACAGAAGAAAGCGTTAAGAGCGTTTGTAGAAATTTATAGTGTGTTGCTGCTTGACAGAAGAAAGCTTATTTTTACCTTCATTACGAATTTAATCCAGTAATCTGATTCTCTCAGGAGTTAAACCTGTATCACAAAGTCAATTGTTTCAATAAATAAAAATCTGAGTGCCAAGCAGTCCAACCAAGCAGATTTAAATTAGCATTGCCAGGAAGATGAAATAAATTAGATCATTAGAGAAAAGGTCTACTAATTCTAAAAGATATACAATACAGGGGCTAGAGACATTTCTTGTCCCGTATTTCAAGATCTAGAAACTAAATGCTCACAAACACACAGCCTGAGGCTGACGTGGAGGAGGAGGAAGATAAATACGCTGCTGAAGCATTGCTGTGGCATCAGCAAATATTGCTATCTGAAGATGTTCATCAGCACTGCTCAACCAGAAATCAGATTTCGCATGGATTTTAATGTGCATTTAGAAATAGTTCTATCAGAACAGCACTCAACTCCAGAAAGGAATTGATATAGTTTTGTAAATTACATCAAATACTGACAAATTAAAAGATACCAAGGGAAGGTGAGCCTGTCATCAGCCCTGTGCCAGCTGGGACACCACCTGCACACCATCCTACCTGGGGAGGATGGGAAGCAGGGTAAAAGCTGGAGTTTTCATTAAAAGAGTCACAGAACTATTTAGTAAATAAATAAGCCTACCCAGGCCAAACTGAAGCAATCTAGAGAATAGCTGTAGGAAAGTACTTTGAGCACACAAGACAGCTAATGTTAGAAGCAGAGGTCAGAGATCACTGGGCTAAAGACTGACTGCTCCTACCACATTTCTTCTCCTCTTCTGGAAATCCCACTGCTCGCAAGAAATACTTCCAAAACATGAGCTGTATCTTATCTACAGTTTTCATTCTGTTTCCAAACCACTTCCAATTTCAAAGTAACTTACAATATTCTACAAGGTATGTTTTGATGCCAGCATAGCTATCTGACTACGTTGTTTCTGCACCACCAGAACAAGCAGGTATTTCTGGAGAAAAAGAAATGCCAGCAATCATTCCCAGAAGTTAATTGCAAATCTAGCTGTTAAATTTATCTGGTAATTAATCAAATAAAACAAATCAACATATTCCCAATTTCTTTAAAAAAATAAAATGGAAGCCCATGCACACAACACTACCTTGGGCCTTAACGTAGAGTTAAGATATCAAATAACATTATTTTTTAAGCAAAAAAAAAAAACCCTAACATTTTCTAAACATGACATTTGCCAACCATACTTTACTTATGCTTGTTCTTTGCTGCAGTTGATTTGGCCAAGGAAAGATGTAATTCCACCCAGAAGTAAGAAGAGAAAGTGTAAGAATTGTTAACAGCCTCTCGAGAAAGCCATTCATTAATCAAGCCAACAAAGCTGAATACAAGAAGAACCAACAACATCACACATCAACAAAAGATTGATGTTAGCCTTGGACAGCACTGGTGTTTCATGGTTTTTTATCCCCCAAAACAATAAATTGATAGCTTTTCTGCAATAAGGCTTTGTTTGGATGCTTGCAGTATGGCAACAATTAGTGCATGGAAACTCTTTTACATGGTATTGGTTTTATTGGTTTCCTTCAAGCTACTGGTGTTGAATTTGCAAGTTAAGTGCAATTATTCCCCTCTATGAATGCGTTGTTAAACACAACTCTAGGAGAAAACAAGGCTTTCATTTACAAGGCATTCATATGAAAGAATGAGTTCATTAAGGAAACTTTCCCTTTAAATTGTGAAAGGAGGAGAAAGGAGCTGCCTAATCAGAAAAAAAAAAAAAGTAAATTCTCTATTCTATAAATGTGGCATTTCGGAGATGACTCATCTGTTACTGTGACATAAGCATGCATTCTCAGTCACATCCTTTCCCTACTGAACTACTTTGTTCTTTATACTCCTTTGCAGGATATGGAGAATAAATTGGGAGAATACGGAGAATAAACCTTACACTTCAAAATTTAAGATTCTGAATTCTGAACCACAAAAGTCATCAGCAACACCTCCATTTGCTACCTTAGGACAAGCTATTGGCTCTGAAAGTAAGACTTTCTTGCAATTGTGTGAGCAAGCTGTCATCCTGACACCACTGCTCAGCTCCCCTAATAAGAGCAAAGCAGCAACCCCCACTCCAGGCTCCCCTCTGGGCAGGCAGCAGCACACACAGCACACCTGGGGCTCTGCCCACCTTCCTCCCCAGTCCCACTGCTTCTGCCCTTTGCACAGAGACCATCACCACAACAAAAGCTGATGAGAAAGAGTCCTTCACAAGATGATTTTTGAGAAAGTGTCGTTTACTATTTCTCAGTAAAGATCCTAAGGTTAAATATTGACTTTTGCTGCATCGAATTGACTGAAGAAACACAAGCATTGAAGGAAAATTAAAGAGCAAAGCTGAACTGTGGGTGTTAGGTTATGTTTTTCTATTTATTTTTTTTATTTATATTGACTGATAGGTAACTCTCACATTACTACCGGTGAAAAACAACCACCTTATGAATTCACAACTGAGTACTAAAATCTAAGGCAAGCTGGCAAACATTACCAGCCGTCAGACAGTTGGTGCCTTTCCAAGAACACGTATAACCTGACTCCATTCCCTATGCAAGGTCAGGTGGTTCATTAGCTAATGCTTCCCACGAGCACTCTGCAGCTTTCACAGCAACACGGAGGAAACAGCAGGACATTCTGGAGGGTGTATGTGAGAATCCTTCTCTAGAAAACACAAAAATCAACTCATTAGATGATGGCAAGTCACCCACACTTTTCTTACAGCTTAACCTTAAAATTTAAGGAAATTAACTATCCAGGAACCATCTAGGAGGAATTTGAGTGCATTGCATGCTCAGTGCTCTTCTTGGTTCTTTACATATATATATATAAATAATTGTGCCCTTATCACACCAGTTTTCCTCTTATTTCTGTATTAACAATGACGTGTTACCGCATTTGTTTAAGCTGTGAGAAAGCCTCCCTTAATTCCATGAACTTCCAGAGTCAGGTGGTTTTATGTGAGGTTTTATGTTATTTATATATAGCTCTCACAATCCCCGGGGATTTTCTTTGTCTCGAGTACTTAAAAAGAAGTAAAGGAGATGAAAAGATGACTTTGCAGTCATGCTCTGGTTAATGATAAACTTTTATGATCAGCCTCACCCCACAAACTTCATGCTATTTTTACTAACTGCCTCAGGAAAAAAAAAAAAAATGACAATTGTTTCAAATTAGAGCTTTAAATGCTAAGTAAAAGCCTATAAGATCAGTTTTGTTCTTTTTTTCAATTTCCCATTTTTCCCATTTCACAGGGAAACTGTTACCATTACTAAAAGGCCATCACTGAAAAATAAATTCTAATTAGAGCAATTTCTAAAATAATTTTAACATCAAGTGTTGCTGGTAATCCAAGGAGCAACAGCTTTTCTAAACACAGACATTTGCAAGCATTAACTTCTGGATGTGTCTAAAATAATGTTACTAGCAAGCTCCCACCATTCGAGCAATACAACCTAAGCCATTACAACCTAACCACAAGGTTATCATCTCTTACATCTGTCAGTACAAAAAAAACTGAAATTCAGCCACTTGAGTCAGTATTATTGTGACCACCTCTCGGGCAGCTTGCAGCACATTCACAAGCAGCAATGGGAAAGTTTTCATTTTCTAAGTGTTATGTGAAGGATGGCAGCCAACTGAAATCACCAGAGATCATCCTACCCACACACTGACTTGACAACTTCCAGCCTACAAGAAACAAGAAGACCCAAGCATGTGCTGAAGCCCTCAGGCAAATCATGCCCTGAAATCAGCAAGAATAACACCAGCACAAAGAAGAGCTCCCCACCAGTATGAAATAAAGCTCAAGTGCCCTCTGATATCCCCTCCACTTGTATGCACCAACAAATAATGGTCCCATGTTGATTAATGAAGAGCACTATGGTAAACAGAGGTCACTGCCCCCACAGCACCATATTCATAAAAGATACTGTGTTGTGACACATCTATTCTTGAAGACAGATGAAAATTCCACAGGAAGGCTACAACATCTACACAGCAATTAAAAAAAACGAATTCTTTAGTATTGCACCTAACACAAGTGACCACCCACTTGACAATAGTAAGGTTTTCATTCCAGGCATCACATAGTCATGTCCACAAACAACTGTCCCACTGAGTGACAACCCAGCAAACACAGGGACACACCTCACAGAAGCAGGACCTCAATTCTTCAAGAGACCTGAGGGATGTTATAAGCAACACACTTAAAGGGAAGATTTTCTTTGATAAAAACTTCCACGGATGACAGCTAAGAGACCTGACTCAATCAAGAAACGGGTTTTATTGTTTCTGCTGCTCACACAACTCCTTATTTAAGGAAATAAACATTCTTTCCCCTCCCAGCTCTGTTATTATCTTCCTTCCTCTTATTTTTACCCTCCTACATCAGTAGGATCTCAGAAAAGTAAATCCATTTCACTTAGAATTGAATTTGTGAAATAACAAAGAACAACACCATGACATCTCCTCAGTTACTCCAAGTGCCACTGTGGGCAGAGAGAAACAGAGGAGGGCAGGGAATGACGACCCAAGAAGGGCTGTAACTTCTGACTGAACTCTGGACTTTTCATCCACATAACCACAAGTGCTGAAAGGGGAACACGAACTGAAAGCTACCATATTTTGGATTTCTTCAGGCCTGCTTATTTTAGTGATGGGAGAGGTAAAGGAAAAAATGTAATGTCTGCCAAGCCCTGACTTTTAGAACTATCTTTCTTTAGGATGGTTTCACAACATGTTCTAAAACCTCATTTGGTAAAGAAAACACTTCCCCAGATTACTTCAAGCAAAACTTGAAATTATTTTAGTACGGCTTGTGGAGCACATGGTCAATAAGTTAAATATACAGTTGCAGTGCATGAGCATAATGCACTGCCTAAGGATTTTGGAAGGCAGATGAAGATACATGGTATGATTTAAAAATAAGCAAACAAAACCAAGCAAACAGAACATTTTATACACCTCTAGTCCAAGAAATGCACAAGCTTGGTCTCCAGAGAGGATAAAAAATACATACATATCAAAACAACTGTCGAGCATAATATGAGACTACCTACTCATCTGTCCAGCACTTTTTCCACTTATTAACTACCCCCAAAAATCTCTTTTGAGATAAGCTCGCTAAATGCATGGGGAAGTATCATGTTTAAATCACAGAGAAGTTGGATTAAACCTATAAGAAAAAAAAACACCCAGCAGAAGTACGTCCACAACCTGCTAAACTATCAGAGACTTCTACTCATTCATTTTGGCACTCTCATGGAGCACAGCTATCTCAAAGCAATGTCCTGAGGGAGACCCAGCACTGTCACTCAGAACCACACACAGCACTGTCACTACAAAAGCTGCTCACTTTGCTACAGCACATCAAGAAAGCTTCTTATGTATTTTCTCCCGTCACTGAAATGCTGCAGGAAGAGGCTTCTAACCTCAAGCCCCACTGACCCATGCTGCAGACCACAGTGAGGTTCCCCCATGCAGCCTGATGCCGCAGGCAGAGCACTGGGAGGACTCCACAAAGCCTGTGCTTCCTCCTAGATGGTACCAGTGGCTCTTGCATCCCACAGTGCTGACAGCCAGCACGTGCAGTGACCAAGAAGAGCAATGTGGACACAGTGACTGACTTAATTTTCTTGAAAAGTCACTAATCTCGTGCTCTTCCCTGCAACCAGTTACCGAAGTCTCGCAGCTAACAAGATGTCTCTTAGGCTCCCACACAGGGTCAGCTGCGGCTGAGATGGGCCACCAGACTCAAAAAATGAGCAGAATACACAAGAAACGGAAATTTTGTGCATCACTTTTTCCTCCTTGTTTCTCAAAAAGTAAACCAAAATGAGGTTAACAAGTATTAACACCACCATTAATTCTCTAAACCAGGACAGTGCCCAAGAGCGCTTAAAACAGCTACTTCCTGCTGCTGTTTGCTCATCAGCAGAACATAAGGCCACCCAAAACCCTACAAGACTTAGATTACAATCAAAATTCAGCAACAGGTTTCAATGTTTTGAATAAAAAGAGAGGCGTTAAGACTTCCGCTCTAGGAGATGCTGAAGAGAGAGGTTCAGCCCTGCAACAGACAAGGGAAGTATATCCCACGCTACAAGCTCCTTAAAGTTAAAATAAATAGACAAATTAGAAACATAGAGGTTGGAAAAGACCACTGAGATCACCAACCACAACCAAATCCCACCATGCCCACTGCCCACATCCCTCAGAGCCACATCCCCGCGGCTCTGGGACACCTCCAGTGACCCCAGCACTCCCTGGGCAGCTGTGTCAGTGCAGAATCACTTCTGGAGAAGGAATTGTTCCTAACGGCCAACCTGAACCTCCCCTGGCACAGCTTACAGCCATTCCTTCTTGTCCTATGGCCATTCCCTGGGAGCAGAGGCCGACCCCACCTCACACAGCCTTCTTTCAGGTCGTTGCAGAGAGCCACGAGGTCTCCCCTGAGCCTCCTCTTCTCCAGACCGAACAGCCCCGCTTCCCTCAGCCGCTGCCCATCACACTTGTGCTCCAGACCCCTCACAGCTCCGCTGCCCTTCTCTGCACACGCTGCAGCCCTCGGCGCCTTTCCTGCAGTGAGGGCCCAGCACTGAGCGCAGCACCGAGGTGCAGCCTCCCCAGTGCCAGTGCGGAGGGACGGTCACCTCCTGCTGCTGACACACGCCGGGGTGCCGTCGGCCTCCTTGGCCACCTGGGCACACTGCTGGCTCACGTTCAGCCGGCTGTCAGCTAACGGCCCCGCAGCCTTTACCTGCGCACAGCTTGCCAGCCACTGCCCCAGGGCTGCAGCGCTGCGTGGGGCTGCCGTGGCCAAAGCGCAGCACCCGGCGCTTGGGTTGGTGAGGCTCATCCCGCTGGGCTCAGACTGATGAGTGAAGAACAGCCCGGACGCACCGGTCTTCCGAAGACACATCCTGCGGGGCTGCTGGCAATTCCGCACCCCAAACAGCCATCAGCTCCCAACACTTTACCACCAAACGACGCAAGCCATCTCCGCAACCCGCAGGCACTCGTCGCCTCGCCAACTCGGCAATCTCGGGCAGCGCCGCCCCGCACCAGCTCTCTCCCTCCCTCCCCCCGGTGCCGAACCGCAGCCCCGCCGGCTCCGAGCCCTTTGTTGTGAGGTGGGAGATTTGAAAGCGTCGCAGCGCGGAGCTGCGGCTGTGCGCGGTGCCGCCGCCCTCGGGGCTCCGCACGGTTCCCTCAGCCGCTCCCGCCCGCAGCCCGCTTCCCTCGGGGCGGGGCGGCTCTCACTCACCCAGCAGCGCCCGGAGGTGCTTGAGGCGGGTCAGCACGTCCCGCTTGGGGTCTAGAGCTTTCTGCGTGGATTTCCTGGCGTCGGCGTGGCCCTTCCTGGAGAACATGGCGAGCCCCTCGGGTGGGCTCCGCGGGAAGGACGGGAGGGCCCGGCCGAGAGCGAGTCGGAGCGGGAAGCGAAGCGAGGCGACGGCAGCGTCTCCGCCGGCCCCGCGGCTCGCCACCCTCCGCCGCCGCCGTGGGTGGGCGTGACGAGGCGGAACCCGCCGCCTCCCGCCCGCCCGCGCCGCCCCACTGCGCAGCCGCGGCGGCCTGGCGTCGCGCGCGGTGACTACAACTCCCGGCGTGCATCGCGCGGGAGCGGTCTCTGCGCGTGGCGGAGCGCCGCGCGTGGCACGCCGGGAGCTGTAGTCTTCGCGCACGGCGGTGCGCTGTTGCGTGACGTCACGCTGACGTCACCGCGCCGCGGAGGGGGCTGAGCGCGTGTAGGAGCACGGCGCGGGGTGAGTTTGCGGTGTGGGGCACGGCGGGTCTTGTGTGTGGCGTCCAAGTAAAGACAAATGCTGGGCAGATTTGCAGTTCAGCAGCAAAACTGTGGTTTTTTTCTCAGAATCAGAACCCAACAGGGCTTGAGTGAAAGGCCTGTCAGTAATATCCTGATCAGAAAAGTGAGCTTTAGTAAATCTCAGAGTGACACAGCATCACGGAATTGGATGGAAGGGACCTGTGGAGATCCTCCTGTCCATCCCTCTGCTAAGGCAGTTCCCTACAGCAGGTGTGTGTCCAGAAGGTCTTCAGTATCTCCAGAGAAGATCACCAGCTCTCTGGGCATTCTGTTCCTGTGCTCTGTCACTTCTTCCTTGTGTCAGTATGCAACTTGCTGTGCCCCAGGCTGTGCCCGTTGCCCCTTGTCCCGTCCTCCACTGCAAAGATCCGCCCCCACCCGCCTGACTCCCGCACGTCCGATGAGTGCAGTAAGATCCCCTCTCAGCCTTCAGTTCTAATCAGCCCCGTGTGTCAGCCTGTCCTCGCACAGGAGCTGCTCCAGGCCCCTCACATCGCTGTATTCCTCCTCTGGGCTCTCTCCAGATCTCCCCGTCTTTCTTCGTTCGTGCCAGAACTGGGCACGGTGCTCCAGGTGCGGCCTCACCAGGGCAGAGCAGAGGGGAAGGATCACCTCCCTCGCCCTGCTGCCCTCGCTCTGTGTCACGCACCCCAAGGTACCATTGGCCTTCTTGGCCACCAAAGCGTGCTGCTGGGAAGGGCGTACAGGAAGGGGAACTCAGCAATTTTTTTTAAACAAGCGTTAAACAAAGCAAAAATCCTCATTAAAGACAAAGGTTGGAAAGCATGACCTTGCCATCAGTAAAAGAGAATGTATTATTGTTCAAGAGTCTATTGTCTTGGAGCCCACTTAAGGTTTACAGTAATTCAGAGTGTGTATCTTTCCCCTATGCTGTTACACAATGTCTCCTTCTGGAACAGCTGTAAATCTGTCTGAAATTATTTGTCATGTGCTGCAAGTTGAATATCCGCAGCTTCCTGAGAAGAGCGAATGAAGCCATCCCAGTTTTTCCCTTTCATTGCCACAAATCAATACGTGCAGTTGGCTAAGGAAGCACAGGGCTGAAATCTTGGCTCTCTTTTTCCTTTTCTTTTTTTCTTTTTTCTTTTTTTCCCCCTCTTTCCTTTTGCTTTAACTGACTTAAAACAAGAGCTTTCTGGTTGTCTCTGTTGGCAATTTCTGACCTTTCCGTGCTTTCATCTTTTTCTACTTTATTATAAACAAAATAAAAGCAACAACAACAAAAAAAACAACCTGTGACTTTAAAGCTACTGCAGCTATGTAGCTGCTCTGATGTTTGAGACATTTGTGATAGCTATGCAATCATTTTGGTGCCTAGCACCTAACTGCAGAGCGTTAGGCATTCACTGATGGACAGTTTGCCAGGAATTCCTCTCTTGACGAGCTCCACAGAATATAGATTTCATGACCTGGATCACAGTGCTCCAGGACGACACTCCTTCCTTTCCCTGTTAGAAGATGGAAAACGTGGTCACATGAAAAGCTGTGATTCAGCAGAGCTTAACATTATCATAATTAGTGAGGGTTTGGGGCTTGTTTTCATTTTTAATTGTGTCCTTTCATCATAGAATTAAGGTTATTTGAACTCAGTCTTTGTGCACCGGTGAAGTGAAGAGATGAAAAAGTGCCTCTAATGCTGCATGTAGGTGGCAGGAAGTGATTTCACTGCTGGGTGTGAAGTTTGTATCTGGGGACAGTGCTGAACGGATGTGCTGTGAGCAGCCAGCTGAGGTTTGCAGACCACTTCTTGGTGTTGAACACTCAGGGCGTGTGGGCCAAGTTCAAACCAGCTGCTCTTACAGTGAAATGTTAGCGTGTTTTCTGCTTGAGTGAGGGCTAAATCTGATCTCTTTATGGCTGGGGTTCTTCTGAAATAAGAAATAAGCAGATTGGTAAAGAGGCAAACACACATTATTCACTGAAAGAAAACCTGTCACAGAAATTAAGGCACTTCCATACAGCATGTGGTGACAGACTGCTCCTAAGTAGATTCTAAACCTAATTTATATTACTTGGAAATACACAGGCTATTAAAATTCTTTTGAATTGGAAGCTATTGAGATGTCAGACAATTTTTCCCAGTTATTTTTTAGGTCTTTGCATTTAACGTTGGATCGTATAACTCCCATTTCCTTCCACATGTCACGTGCCACACGGAATACAATGAGCACAATATTTTTGCTGCTTGTAATTGCATCCCCACATGTTTGCTGATCTTCACAGTGTAAAAATCCTTTGTCTTCTATAAAGAACTAGCAGTTGGTGCAACATGGAGGAGAAAGAACGTTAAACAATGTCTCCTCTCAGTTTTAGGTAAGCAAGTTGATTCAAATAATACATACCTGTAGGAACTCAAGATTATGGAATCATAGAATGGGTTGAAAAGGAGCACAATGCTCATCCAGTTCCAACCCCCTGCTATGTGCAGGGTCACCAGCCAGCAGACCAGGCTGCCCAGAGCCACATCCAGCCTGGCCTTGAATGCCTGCAGGGATGGGGCATCCACAGCCTCCTTGGGCAACCTGTTCCAGTGATTATGTGCAATAATGCTTGCATAAATCATGAAACACAACTTCTCAAAGGATTTGCTTATGATTTGATGTAGAATAATGGAAAACAGAAATCACAATAAACTTGCAGCAATTATGTCAGCTTGCACTGGGGAACCATTCATAAAATCCTATGACTTATGTTTTTTCTCACCATGCGCCAAGCTGCAGTTGCCCAGAAAACCAGATGATGCATTTCCAAAAGTTGATGCCTGAGATAGATGAATTTCCTGAAAACGATTAGATCATTCAGTTTTCAGGATCTGAAGTAAAATCTATATAAAGCAAATTGTGTAAGGAGGCAAACAAAGAGACAAAGCAGTAATCTCTTATCACTCTGTGTGCTTGGAAGTTGTTGCTGTGGGTGGAGGTGGCTCACGGCTCGCCTTTAGCTTTGCCAGGCTGCTGCCATAGGCTCTGGTTTTCCAACAGAGCTGCCTTGGAGGGGAGCTGAGAGCTACGGATCTACTTTCTACAATCTTTAGAACATGCATGTTTTCTAAATTTCACATCACGCCGATGACATTCTAACAGCCAAAGAGCAGGGGCTCACCCTTACGTGTAACAAAATGCATGGAATACAGCTGTAATGAAAATCATGACAAGCCCCAGTGTGGCTCGTTGGCTCTCTGCAGTGAGGGTGGGCAGTTCTGCAACACAGACCTGACGAACAGGCATGGCTGCTTTTCCTCTGCAGGCTGAAATTTTAATGACAGATTGAATTACGGAACTTCTCCTCTTACTTGTGTCAATGCCACGCTTCATTATGGTCCTGGAAAAAAAAGGTTGGGGAAAGGTAAATAAGGAAACTTGCCTCCTAAATAACATACAGGTGAGATAATCATTTCCTTAGCGCAAAGGTTCTAACACAAAGTTTCTTGCAGCACCCGAGACATCAAAATATCATTCATATAGTAAAAATGGGGGTCAGGAAAAAAAAAGCCATCCAAAAAGGATGCCAGGTTTCCTTCTGTCTGGGTTGCAATCTGTATAAAGGGACAGGCAAGAATTTATGGATGGAAAAAAAAAATCAGATAGAAAGAACATGGACTGCATGTCCCTTGATACCTCCCAGATGGAAACATCCAGATCCCATTGTCATGTAGAAGCCTTTCTGTGCTGCTTAGCTTGTAAGCAGAAGAAGCTGGAGGTATAGAATCATAGAATGGCCTGGATTGAAAAGGACCAGAATGATCATCCAGTTTGAACCCTGCTATGTGCAGGGTCGCCCACCATCAGATCAGGCTGCCCAGAGCCACATCCAGGCTAGCCTTGAATGCCTCCAGGGATGGGGCATCCACATGCTTTGTTAGCATCAGGAGTGACCACGCTGATCACCTTAACCCCAGTTTATGCCACTGAGACATCCATTAAATCGTGGCTACATAACATGTTAATTCCTTCTGAAAGCAAGCCCTTGAGTTCTTTTACACAAGAGAACAAAAAAACTTCAAAATTAACCAAAATCACAAAAAGCCATTGGTGTTACAGAGATTCTTCCTTTTTTTCTTTTTTTTTCTTTTTTTTCCTTTCCTCTTTCCTTTCCTCTTTCCTTTCCTCTTTCCTTTCCTCTTTCCTTTCCTCTTCCCTTCCCTTCCCTTCCCTTCCCTTCCCTTCCCTTCCCTTCCCTTCCCTTCCCTTCCCTTCCCTTTTCCAAGTAAATTACTGTGGAGAGCAGTGCAATAATTACAGCCTTCAGAAATGGCTTGATTTTTCCTCCATATACAAGCATGACAAAAAAATAATAAAAAATAACGCAGCTGGTGTTCAGATGAAATTATGTGGTTTGCTTTGAAACAGTATTAAAAGCGAAATTTTAATTAACCTGTACCACTGAGTCAGAAGATAATATCTGATGCATATAACAGACATACTGACAAAATATGATAAAATAATTATTTGCAATTAGATATATGCATTACAGACAATGTTGTAATTAAAATGTACTTAATGTCACAGGTGGGCCTTTATTATCAAAATGATTTGTAGGAGGACTGGGGAATCAATGTGTCATGATTTTCCAGCTCTCAGAAAAAAGAATATCTGAGAATCCGCCAGGAGCCCCAAGTATTTCCTCCATCATTTTGTACATTGAGCACAGCTACTGGTGCCATCAGCCACCATCCCACTCACAT